GCAGATTTCCGCAAGCGTTTGTACCATTTTTGAGGTCTCTTGATGAGATTAGACTGTAGAGTAATAACTCCTGATGGAAACGTGAAAATGACATTTTAAGTGTAATATTTTAGGACGGCGTACTTCACAGTTATGTGTCAGTCTTATCCAGTAGATGGTTCACCTTTGGTAATAACACAGACATCGTGCAACAAATGGGTTTTTTGTGCACAGTATTCGCAATCGATTCGCTCATTTTTTTGTTTTTTATAGGTGGATAGACAAATGCCACTATATAGGGCGAAAATATACTACATGCTATAACTGCTACGAAGCTGTAGCTGTTGTTATCAGAAAAATAAAACGTCTTAGCTGGTAACATAAATCAGGCTGCATGAGCTCAATAAAAGGATACAAAGAGCAGCACATATTATTGAAATTTAAGGGAAACAAAAATCGAAACGATTACAATCGTTTTTCTTGCTTCAGTGCAAAAGTTTCGCAGTGGTGTACCTTGTATGATGAATCAGCATTGACCTGATTTGGAATGATTCTTGGCGGAGCAAAAGCTATAAGTAACTTTCTGCATTATCCTAACTGCAGTGAGTTAGTTGTTCATGCCATTTGATATGTTGCTGGACACGAGGGCAGTCATCTCGCCAACTGATTTGAAGTTCGTTGTTGTTTCTATTGCGTGATATGAACTGTTAATTAAATTAAATCAGATAAGTTAAGTTACAAAGGGAGAAAACTGAATTACGTGTGAATTTCAAGCATGATGACGATTTGATAGCCGTAGTCGTGTACCATGACTTCGCGATCGAGATCTATAAAAGGACCGGGAGTGCGCTGAATAGAAGACATCGTGCTCGGAACGCGACCTGAATTATGCGTAGAGATTCGCAGAAACCAAAATACGTGACGTATGATAAGGTATCTTCGCTGTGAGGAGAATATAGCAACTGATTGTTTGAGTGACGTATATAAGCCCGGTAAAACACTTGTCCACCGCTTCAGTCTAAATCGTGTACTCCGACAGCAAGTTCATCAGGCGGCTTCAGGGTGCTGTCTTGAATACCGAGGACACATGAACAAATCTCTTTGCCCTTTATATACGTTTGCCTACTATTCATAATTGCAAAGATGAATATTCTGGGCTCGTGGTTCTTTCTGACCCTGTTAGACTGCATATGTGGCTGTGCTGGTGGCGTAATATCATAATGGCGGTGTTTCACTATTTCGTAGTTTTGAGCGATTATCTACCCTGCTTACAATAGACTTTGCATTTTCAGAACATCAACGGTTTTTCGGACTTAAACGACGGAGAAAAGATGATCATGGCGATGTGGAATGAACACATCACGCGTTACAAGTACGTGATTTTTGTTTTTGCATACACCGCAGGAAAGGGGTGGACGAAATCGCGCAACTGATGTGTCCTTGTTTCTCTTCTAGCTATTATGGCAATTGCCGGATATGGGATGCGTGCCTGTCATTTATCAACGAAAACGTCGATGTTCTGATGAAAAAAAATCTCGTCAGAAACTTATATCTTCACTTGGCGAACTTGCACCAGTTTGGTCTTCTGTCGTCTACACAGATATTGCAA